AAACGTCCCTCTTGGTCTGAAAAAACGTCATTTCCTACCCAAAAACATCTTTTTCAAATGCATGTACAAAAAATTGTTCTTATTTAAACTTTTATTGTATACAAAGGTACATATCGAGCCCTAACCGCCAAAATAACGTAAGCGACATTTTTTTCAAAATTTTCTTTTTGGTGCGGAAATATTCCTAAAGCATCTAGATACATTTCTACATCAAAAAAATGTCGAAAAAAATTTCGCTTAAGTACGTTGTTTTGGCGGTTAGGGCTCGATATGTACGTAAGGTATTAAGTCATCAACATTTTGATCGATTTTGGCTGTTTCTCTTTCGTTTATTTAATGTTTATTATTCTTCCATAAAAGCCAAGCTCATTAACAAACAAAATATAAAATATAAAATTATAAACAATCTGCAAATTTTCAGCTAGATTTTCAACTTTCTATTCAAATTTTTTAGCCCATTAAATTTCAGGGCAATAATGTGCAAGTTTAAAGGGGCTAAATAATCGCGTTGATTTTTAACAATTTTTTTTTCTTGTAGAAATTTGGTTAGGGCTCGGTTGTCGAAAATGCTAAATTACGTTCTGCTAAGAAGGAGCATAGCAATAGGTCTATTCAATAACAAAAAATTGTTACGAATTGTTACTAGTACTTGCAAGTTTTTACTGGAAATGCATTCAATAACCCAAAATATTTGCAAGAGGAAGCGAATTCGAGAGCGTAACAACCCCAGAGAGCTGCAAATTCTTGCAAGTAAAAAAGCAGTAGTCCAAAAGTAAGGTTATGTTTCAAATTCAAATGTGAACAAACTGTTTAAGAGGATGATTTGATGAAACATAATTAGTGAAATGAAAATATGGATAAAAAATTTAAATCTATTGTATATTTTTTTACTTTTATGACGATGCAAACTATTCCCAATTAAAACGAAAATTGCGCGCCAAAACTTTACCGTCAGAAAGTGTCAAAATGGCTCAAGTTGCAAGTTTTTACTAGTTTTGCGTTCAATAACTTTTTCTGAAAATTTTCACTTGCTCTCAATTTTACTCTCTATTTTCCTTTTACGCTCTCGCTGCAAGTACTTACTGGAAAAGTTATTGAATGGACCTAATATTTCAGTATTTTTTGCGTTCAGTACATTTTCAATGAAGTCTTAAAAAAGTCGCCTACTTTTTTCTGACGTTTTATGCTGCACAGCTTTTTTGATGCTTTTGCGAGTGTGTCTGCTGCAATATATCAGCTCTACCTAATTTTAGCTTTTAATGTGCAATTGCATCATTACAGCAAGCCTCGTAACCTCAAGTGTTTACACAACCAGCCTTTGAACAAGGGATCCTTAGTCTAATCAACCAAAAAAAAAAACCCTTTGGAGGAAGCAGCTGCAGCAAAACACAAAGATTGTAAAGATTTATTAAGAAAATAATTCAAAATCAGTTCTACATATAAGATTTAGTAACAAAGAAAAATTACTGGGAACTTAAAAAACGTCATTTTTTACACACAAAACGTCCAAACGTCAACAGGGTACAAAATACGTCCAAATGACGTTAAAAACGTGAACCTGGCAACGCTGTCGATGATGTCGATGTCATCGGCATAAGCCAGCAATTGCATCAGATGAAAGAAGTCACATGAAAGGGAGTCGCCCTGTCTGAAGCCCCGTTTTGTGGCGAACGGCTCGGAGAGGTCTTCCCCAATTCTGACGGAGCTGGTGGTATTGCTCAACGTCATTTTACACAGCGGTATGAGTTTTGAGGGGATGCCAAATTCAGACATAGCGGTGTATAGGCAACTCCTTTTAGTGCCGTCAAAAGCGGCTTTAAAGTCGACAAATAGGTGGTGAGTGTCGATCCTTTTCTCGTGGGTCTTTTCCAAGATTTGGCGTATTGTGAATACCTGGTCTATGGTGGATTTGCCAGGTCTAAAGCCACACTGATAAGGTCCGATCAGTTCATTAACGGTGGGCTTCAGTCTTTCACACAATACGCTCGATAAGACCTTGTAACCTATGCTTAGAAGGCTGATCCCGCGGTAGTTGGCGCGAAGGGCGGGGTCACCTTTCTTGTGGATTGGGCACAGCACACTTAAATTCCAGTCGTCGGGCATGCGTTCATCTGACCATATTCTGCACAAGAGTTGAGGCATGCACCTTATCAACTCCTCGCTGCCGTACTTGAATAGCTCAGCTGGAAGGCTGTCAGCTCCAGCAGCTTTGTTGTTTTTCAGCCGCGTTATTGCTATACGTACCTCGTCATAGTCAGGCGGTGGAACGTCGACTCCGTCGTCATCGACTGCGGGCTCTTCTTCTCCAAAACTTTCCGTGCTGCGACCATTTAGTAGGGCGGAAAAGTGTTCCCTCCATAATTTAAGTACGCTCTGGACATCAGTTACTAGCTCGCCATTATTGTTCTTACAGGAGTACGCCCCGGCCTGTAAACCTTCCGTAAGTCGCCTAACTCTGGTAAAATTTTCGGGCATTCTTTCTGTCGGCCAGCATTTCAAGCTCTTCGCACTCACGTATTTCGGCCTCTCTCTTCTTATTGCGGCAAATACGTCTCGCTTCCCTCTTCAGATCCCTATAGCGGTCCGACATAGCGCGCGTAGCGCCCGATCGCAGCGTGGCCCTGTAGGTGGCATCATTTGATGAGCGAGATGTTGAAGAATCTCGCTTTGATGCGGATTGTGGCTAGACGCTCGTCCCGGGGTGAACGACAGTACTCGGCGACGGAGTTTCTCTCCCACCACAAATCCAACACCGAATTTGCGCTCCTTTACGTGGCAACTGTAGTAGATGTCGCAAGGCCCCAGACATTGGTTTCCTTGCCCCGTCCAACACATTTCTTGGATGGCGGTGATGTCAGCTTTTGTCCTTAAGAGGACATCAACCAGCCGGGCAGAGGCACCTTCCCCATTAAGGGTCCGGACATTCCAGGTGCATGCCCTCAAATCGTAGTCCTTTAAACATTTGCCGTGGTCGTCATCATAAGGGGGGGTCTCATCCGAGGCTTTGCCTTGCTTCTTCACTGGAAGTGGTTTTTACGTGGCGGGTCCCAAGCCCAGCGCACAACCCATTGCTGGGACGGGGGTGGTTTCGCAACCAAATACACGTTTATATAGCGAGCCGCTTGCTCCAAGCAGACACCCGCTTGCAGCCGCACCTACTGGTGAACAGACGCTGCAGACTTCAGTGGGCCCTTAAACCGAATAAGTCGGAGTGGCCCCACCGAAGCTCCCTCTCTTTCTGCCGTGACCCAAGGCGAGGCTCCACTCGGATTGGTTACCGCATCTCGCACATGGATTGCTCACGTTGCCCAGAGTGCGCGAACGAGGACGCAAGAGTGGGGATTGAGTATAGCCATGCAACTGTAACTGCATACCCAGCGCAACGACGATACCCCATTGCACTCCGCCTATTGCTCTTATTTAAATGGTATATAACCTTATTTTGTGCAAATTTATATTACAGGTGCTATAAGGTCGGGTCTTCGAAAAATTAAAAACCTTATATTTAAAACAATTTTGAACTGGTTTTTAAAAAATTGGTATCGCTGTAAACGTGATTAACCTCCCTTTCTTCTGATATGCATATTTGTATACTTCGTATTCAAAAATTTTAGGAAAAACATTTAAGAGGAAAAAATACCTTTTTTTATAAAAAACTAGTTTAAACCAAAAAAATTACTGACCGATTTTTTAAAAATGTATATCGCTGTAAACGAACTCAAACCTCCTTTCATCTGATATGCGTATTTGTATACTTCGTAAAAAAATTTGAGAAAAAAACACTTAAAAGGAAAAATACCTTTTTTTATAAAAAAAAAATATTTTAAACAAAAAACTACAAACTGATTTTTTAAAAAATGGGTATCGCTGTAAAGGCGATTAAACACCCTTTCTTCTGGTATGCATATTTTTATACTTCGTATATAAAAATTTAGGAAAAATACTTAATTGTTAGATAATTATTTTGTTTTTTTTTTTGCATTGCCACCTTTAGTAGTTAGATGAGGAATGCCTTGAAAATTTGATGCAAACATATTACAGTATATTATGTTATTATATATTATTATAACAAAAAATTGAGAAAATAATGAAAAATAAATTGATAAAAATCTCTTTTTAAATATCGATTCTACCTGCTTTACTGTTTTCACAGATTTAAACACAATTTATGTAATTTGTTTTTATATCTGAGGTGTCGTCTTCACTGGAATGGCCCTTATGCCACTTTCAAAATAAACGGATCATATGTAAATTATTATTGTTTTTTCCACACGATTTTTCATAAAAAACGGCCTCATGCTCAATAAAACTGTTGAATATAATTGCTATAAAAGCCCAAAAATTAAAAAAAAAAAAAACAAATAACTAAAAGGACGAGCAAAAAAACCAACAACAAACAACTACCACATGATTAGGTCTAAATAGCAGCAAAATTAGTGCCCTTGATTGTAGTTGGGTTGACATATGAAAACCTGGAAAAAAAACAACAGTGGGTAGACTACTGGCTTTGGACGCTGGAGTCGCTGTGTCGAATCCCAGTGAAGAAGTCTGATGAGGAGATGGGATGATTAGCAGCTATAACTTTTACCTATATGTAAATTATTGTTATTTTTTCCACAACATCTTTGATAAAAAAATGGCCACAAGCTCAATAAAATTGTTGAATATAAACTTACAACTTTCATGTTCACTATTTTTGGCCACAGACATTACACTGTGCTGAGCACCCCGATTTTCGAGGGTTATTACTGGTTATTATTAAATAACATACTTTTATATATTATATATGAAGTAATACCTATGTGTATTAGACGTTTTGATAGACAATTTTACGATCCTAAAATAATGATATACAGACCTATTTCGCGCCGAATTTCGGAGGTTGTAGAGGATAAGAAAACAAGAATTTGTTGATTTAATTTTAAGCATATTAAATTTTAATATTAATATTAAGATTTAGAATATTTGTTATATCTATCTGTTTATATCTATATTTTCAGTCGCCTTAGTCGAACGCAATCAGTGTTACTAACACATGGTGATAGTGTAGAGCGAGTTGGAGAAAAATTAAAAGTAGGTGGTTGGTCATCAAATCGCATTGTAACGGCAATTTACAACGAGACGTTGCGAATATACGGTGTGCAGTTTCATCCTGAGGTAAATTATGGATCTTATACATTTACGCATACATATGTTTATATATCTACTAGCAACAGTGGTTAAGGCCTTGTTCTTCTTGTTGGCACTATAACCGCCTAAGCGATTCTGCCCGAGTCCAATAAAGCACGCCAGTCGTTTCTCGTCTGTGCCTACTGAGGCCAATTGGGAATGTCATTGAGTGCAAAAGAGTGTATTATAGTACAAAACGAAATAAAATTTTACGTTCCTAAATATTTCTTGCTTAGCACCATATCCCACTGGGTAAATAGGTAAGCACCTTACGAGGTAAGCCATGTTTTCTTTCAGTTTTTAGTACCAAAATCGTCATCATGGCCAATGTCATCTACTAGTAAAGCGCAAAATGAACACCTCCGACGACACATTACGCTGTCAGTCGCAAAATAACGTGCATCCGAAGTTATTTCCAAGCGCCGAACTACTCCGAGCGACTGCTCTGCATTACACGTAACTTACTTTGTAAAGCAGCTCAGAAGTATGTCTGATACCAAATGTACATTCAAGGTATTGCCCTTCACCTGGCGGTCCTTACCACTTCCCTGCCGAATATCCATTACTTTAACAAAAATTGAATCGGTCGGACTCTATGGTTATGATACTTATTTATTAGAGAATCATCTGTTCTATTCAATTATTTGAAAAAGTATTTAGTCATTGTTATTGTGAAATTGAAAATAAAATGTAATGCGAAATATATAATCACAACCGAACTTTAAATAACTAGTTTTCCACAGAAATACTAAAAACTTTTAACAAATTTTTAGTCGTCATAAGTATAATCTTTGAACAAAAATTGTTCATATATAAAGGGTTAAGAGTTTCTAAGTTCGTCTGCCGCATTGGATCAATTTTAGTTTTCGGTAAATGACTTTAGATTTGTTTTCATTCAGCATCTAAGAAACGCCCCAGCTTCATAGAAATATATAAATATTTTTAATTTTTATCCGCCATATTGGATCTGCCATTTTGAATATTTGGTAAATGACTTTAGACTCGTAATCAGCGGTCAAAATCTGCCCTACATTAAAAGTGGTGTAAAAATCCATCAGAGAGTATTTGTTGCGTCGCCAACGCGCATAGGTCCGTACGTCTTAGTGCGCAGTTATCCACCGAAGTCAAATCGGAAACCGTGGCATCTGACACGATCTATCTTACGGGATTTGCATGTCAACGGAAACTCGCCACCGTTTTAGTGAAATAACGCCCATAGGCTTTATTTCTTAAAAAAAGGGAAATAACGCCCACCGAAAAAAGTTAATAAAGCCCGCGGGTGTTTTTTCTCTGGCTTTGTTTTACTGAATCATACCAATTACAATTTTGCATTAAGATCTGCAAGCATACATTTGCATAAAAACGGAATGATATTTTAAACGAATCACTCTCTTTTGCATACAAATTCCTTCGACTTATAAAAAATTATGCATATCCACGAGTGCGTCATCCACAGTCGAGTCTGCGTCGAATTCCCTTCTGAACCATACGCATAACATCGCTGATAAGCGAATTATTACAAATCAAAGGTAAATTGTTATTGTTTTTAGTCTTCAATGCGATGCAGATATTTGTTCCCAGCATAGGTTTCTCAGTGGTAACGAGTAAACGTGTATGACGGCGCGCCGCGTTTCAGCGCCACCAGGCTGGCTCCCCCTCGCGGTCTCGGCGGAAAATTTATTTGTTTATATACTTGCATGATTTAATTGCTCTATATGTAGGTACGATAAGAAGTTGGTTGTTTGTGTAGTTCCGCCGTAAAATTACTGTGAGGATGACGAAGGCGTAGCACAGGCTTATTTAAACATCGTGTATACGCGCGATGTAGGGAGACAGAGGTAGCACAATCAGTAGTACCGCTACTTTGTTGTTGGCGAATTTGGCAGAACCAGCTATTCGTGTGACGTAGTTTTTGCGAAATGTTGGTATGTTTATATGTATGTATGTTTGTAATAAGTTCGTTTAGTTTTTTACCCACTGTTTTTGGGTTAGTGGGCAGAAAGGGAGGGTCCTGTCTCCAATTGGCGTCAGTTGGCACAGAAGATTAACGACTGGCGTAGTTTGTTGAACCCGGCCAAAATCGCTTAGATGGTTATAGCGCCAAATAAGAAGCAGAAGAAAGAGCACAGTTCCAGCTTTGTAAAAAGTCACACCTGACCCCTGGAAATCTTCCACAGACCTTTGCAAAATGATCTAAAATTAGCATTTTGTCAATGGGAATGTAAACTCGGTAAAATGTTTTTTTTTTTTTTTTGTGGAGAAGACCTTTTAATGTTGGCAATTAGGTTTTAAAATAAAGTTTAGACTCTTGATTATAAGTGTGTTTAATTTTTTTTTTGGATCAGGTCACCCATTTGGACACAACAGTCCGAAATCATTGGGCAAATAACTAAACTGTTCCCGAATTGTGTCTTTCACGCGAGCGCTGGGCTTTTATTCGATTTTAACGACACTAATATATTTGTAAATATGAACAATAAAATAAAAGACTGGATTTATTTGTGCACTATTTATATGAGCAAAATATAATTTTCTTTACACGCGTTCACTCAATGTAAGCATATTTTAAATATGGCGACCTCCATGATTTGACAGTTTACACTTTTTCTCTCCTTCATCTCCACCATTCGGGGCTAACGTCATCACCCGCAGGAATTCGCAATCTTGTATTCTATCATTCTTGGTGTGTACGTATAGAAGCAAGAGCGTAACGATGAGAACGCGAAAGCATGTGTAGGCACTCGAGTTTTATATAAAACGGCAACTCAAATTTATTTCAAACGAGAAAGCGAATTACAAACGATGAACAGTTATAACTGACTCCAAAAAGTGAAAAATGTGTATCTCATGATACAATAATTTTTAGAAGGTAGTTTCACTTCAAAATTTTTTACATAAACTGTGTCTGTGACAAACACGCAATGTGGCCACTGCTACGATATAGAACTTGGGGATTATCGCTTGTTATTTTAGATATTTTTTAACAGAACATGTAAAGATTTATATGTTTCATAACTGCTAATCACATGAATAAAAATCATAAAAATGAAAATATAACTGCAATATTTCTTGTTTATAATGGATTAGATCCATCGCACACCACGGACTTTATCGGCCGCCAATTTAGATGTGCTCGCTAGTCTTTCCATTGCACCACAACTTATTGGTCAGAGCGATTAAGCTGGTGTAGTGTGCGCACCTCCATACATCTTCATGTAATTTAAATAGGCGGCCGATAAAGTCTGTGGTGTGCGGTGGCTCTTATAGCTGTGCCCTTACATCTATTCCGTGTGTTGCAATATCCACGAAAGCAGCAGTTAATTTTTTATGAAGAAAATGATTACAAAATATTCGAAAATTTCTCTACTTATATGTTTGGCTTTTCTTTATTTTATTTTTCCAACGTCAAAAGCTGGATTTTTTTTTTTAAAGTTGGTACAACAAAAAATACGAAACACGTTTTCTGTCAGATAGCTAACATGGCGGATAAGAAGAAGAAGTGAAACTACCTTCTAAAAATTATTGTATCATGGTGTATCTATTAACAGGACGCTGAATTTGAATTTTAAAAGTTGGCACACTAATGGCCTAATTCATAAAAAATAAAGTAGGTTTAAAGAGCTTTATGAAATGACGTTTTCATACATTTTTCAGTTTATAAACCTTTTTTAAAGCTACTTTATTTTTTATGAATAACGCCATAAGTATTTATGTCTCACTTGTGTACTTGTGTACAGTAACCATAGTAGTCCCCCCGGAGTGACTCGAACTTGAATGAGAAGCCATGGTATTGCTACGTTGTCGTGTTTCGTAAATCCTTGAACTGGATGATCTATGCGTTGTTACTGGGTGAACCAAATCTGAAAAGGTTTCGGCAAATGCCGGCTAAAGACGTACAGTTGATAGCGTTGTCGAGCGAAATTCGACTTTCACCACAAAAACAGTGTGAATTTCGATTCAAAATCTCAAAAGGTCCTCGATATGGCTGCTGCAATAGTTTTTTTACTTCGTCGAACCGAACAAAAACGTTTGTGCATGCACGCAATGACTGGTGGTGGAAGGCCCTGGTTCTAATATGGAACTGTGTTCCCCTGTCGCTGGTAATTGTAATGGGGGCTCCAAACCTGCTCATCCAAACTTCAAGAAGTGCTTTGATGACAGTCTTTGCATATATGTCTTTTAACGGTATAGCTTCTGGCCATCGGGTGAAGCGGTCAATTACTGTCAAACAGTATCGATATCGATGTGTATATGTTTGAAGCGTTCGCTGGGTATATTAATATGCTGTGGTGCATTTCTTTCGTGCCTTTGGATTTTACTTCTCTGGCAGTGTAAGCAGTTACGAGCCCATTTCGTTGAGTCGCGATTTATATGCGGCCACACCTATCGTTGGTTGATAAGTTTTTGAGTCGCACGGGCGTTTGGATGCGATAAGTCATGTCATGGGTGTCAGACCTTCGCTTTTCTGTTTACGAAACTGTAGCGATGTTGCGTGCAATTTGAGAAGTCTGAGTTCGTCATCTATCTACTCAGCTGCGATATCTTTAGGTGAAAATAAGGTGGGAAAATTAATAGTGTCAATTCTGGACATCGCATCGGCAACGATATGATCTTTACCAGGTACGTGAATAATGTTAGTGGTGAACTGGCTGATATACTGAAGGTGGAGTTGCTGTCGTGGCGAGGCCTTGTCGGATCGTTGTGACAATGCAAAGGACAATGATCTATAATCCGTATATATAATTAAATATCTACCTTCCACCAAGTGTTTGAAAAACTTTACTGCCTTAAAAATTGATAGCAAATCGCGATCATACGCACTGTTATTGCGTTCGGTTTTACTTAACTTGCTTGTATAAAATCCCAGTGGCTGAGTTACACCAGATATTGTTTGATCAAGTGCAGTACCGATCGCGTTGTCGGAGGCGTCGCAACGAAGACTTAAGGAAGCATTGGGTGCAGGGTAGGCAAGCGGTAGAGCACCGACC